GCGTACAGCGCGGCGGCCGGCGGCGGCGTGGGCGGTGCCGCGCCGTTGGCGTTTCAGGAGAAGCAGCAGCCTCAGCCTCAGCAACAGCAACAGTTCGCGCCGGGCGCGGCGGTGCAGGGGCGGCAGTCGCAGGTGTTTGCGACGACACCGCAGCAGCAACAGCAGCAGACATTTACGGTCAACGGGGTCACGTACATGGCCAACGGCGGGGCGCCGCAGGTGCAACAGGCTCCGATGATGCAAATGCACCACCCCGGGGTTGTGGGGGTTAACGGGGCTGGCGGGGGAGGGTATGTACAGCAGCAGCAGCAGCAGCAGCAGCCGGTGCAAGGCTTTGTTGCCGGCTCGCAAGTGGTGCCAGGCCAGATTCAGTTTGTGGACGGCCATCAGCAGCAGATGATGCTGCAGCAGTCATCTTTTGCACAGCAACAACAACAACAACAACAACAACAACAACAACAACCGCAACAGCAGTTCGTCATGTCCAACGGCTCCCTCGTGCAAATCGTGCAACCAGGCCAGCTGCCCGCCGGGGCCAGGGTCGTGTCCCCGGACCAGCTCCCGCCGGGGGCGGTGCCGCAGTTCAGCCCCCGGCTGGCCAGGGCAGCGACAGCGCCGACATCGCCCCCGCCGGCGCCGCTGACAGGAAAGGACCCGGCCGCCGGCGTGCTCGGGTTCCCTCCCCACTCGCCCTACACCCAGCCGGCCACGCCGGTGGCCAGGTCCATGGGGCCGTCGGCTCCGCAGCGGCAGCCCGCGCCCGCCGTTGCGATGCAGTCTCCCCAGGCTGTTGCTGCTGCTGCTGCTGCCACCGCCACTGCTGTTAGCCCACAGCCCCTGGCGATGATGCCGGCGGCGTCGCAGCAGATGCAGATGCAGGGGCTGGCGCAGCCGCAGGTGCTGATGAACCCGGCGCCGCAGTACCAAGAGCAGCAGGCCGTCTGGGTGCAGCAGGGGCAGCAGATGGTATTGATGCAGGTCCCGGCGTCCATGGGCGGTGGTGGCGGCCAGGTGCTGCTGCCCAACCAGCTGGGCCAGCCCCAGCAAGCAGCAGTCATGGCGGCGGCGCCGTCGTTTGCCGTCGACGCGAACGGAAACCTCGTCATGCTCGCGGCGCCGCCACCACTGCCACCACCGGGCGCCGCCGCGGCCCTAACGACGACGGCAGCGGGGCAGGGGCAGCAGCAGCAGCAGTTCTGGACCAAGGAGCGGGCCGAGAAGAGCAAGGCGACGGCCAAGAAGGCGCTCAAGCAGACCAAGAACGCGCTCGTAAAGACAAACGACTTTTTGGGAAAGGCCGTCGCGCCCATCATGCCGCTGCTCGCCGTCACGGACCCGGAAGTCGCGGCCGCCTGGCGCGCCAAGCAGCAGGTCGAGGCCGCCTGCAAGGCCGCCGCCGCCTCCGGGTCCGGCGCCGACAAGGCCGCCATCGGGCTCGCGGCCGCGCTGGGCACCGCCGCGCTGCTGGGCGGCGGCGGCGGCGGCGGTGACGGCGGGGATGCGGGGGTGTTGGACCTGGGCGGGCTGCTGTCGTTTGGTGGTGGCGATGGGGATGACGGTTCGGCTCTTGCGGCTTTCGGGCTGGGCGTAGCTGGTGGCGGCGTGGGAGACGGCGGCGGCCCGTTGGATAGCATGGGCCCGCTGCTGTCGGCGTTGATGACGGCGTCGGCGCAGGCCACGACGCTGGCGGCTGGCGGGGCGGCGCAGGCGCAGGACCAGCTGGCCGCGGCGCAGGCCGCGGACCCGGCGGACCCGGCGTCGCTGATGCTCCAGGCGCTGCTGCAGGCCCAGGTGGCCATGCAGGCGACTGCAGAAGCCCAGCCGGTAGCGGTGCCGGCGCCGGCGCCAGTACAACAGGGAATCGCAGGGCAGCCGCAGCCGACGATGGAGGGCCTGCTGCAGGCCTTTATGGAGCAGGCCGCCGAGCTCCAAAAGCTCCGGCAGCAGCTTCAGGAGCAGCAGCAGCAGCAGCTCCAGCAACAGCTCCAACAGCTTCAGGAGCAGCAGCTTCAACAACAGCTCCAGCAGCTTCAGCTCCAGCAGCAACAACAACTCCCTTCGAACCCTCCTGCACCGCAACCGCAACCAGCTCCCGCTCCAACACCCTCTCCCGCCCAGACAGCCCCACCCCAGCCAACCAACACACCAGCCACCGCCGCCCAACCCTCCTCCACCCTCCCACAAAACACCCCCCTCTGCACAGCAACCTGGACCGCCCGCGCCCTCCCAACCTACGGCATCGCCTCCGTCCTCCTCCCGCCAGGGCCCCTCACCGAAACAGACCGCCACATCCTCTCCACCCCTCTGCCCACCCTCGGCCCGCACGCCACGCTCGAGCTGGACCTGCTGCATACGCCCCGCCAGCGCCGCGACCGCCTCGCGCGCCTGGCGCGCCTCCTGCCCGGCGGCGCCTCCGCCGACCCCATCAGCCTCCCCGTCCTCCTGGCCCCGACGCCGCGCCCGGACCTGGCGCCCGCCGGCTCGCCGGCTGCCGAGTCTGTCGCTCTGGCCGTCGGCCTGCCCGCCGAGCAGGACGGCGGCGACCTGATGGCCACGTACAAGCTCCTCGTCACCTGCCCGCCGCGCAGCGGAGCCGCCTCCGCCTCCGCCTCCGCCGTCCTCATCAGCGCCTTTGCGCCGCGCGCCCGCCTCGCCGCCGCCGTCGCCGCCGTCGAGGCCGCGGCGCGGTCCCTGCGCTGGCTTCTCCCTCCTACAACAACAACTACCACCACCACCGCAGACATCGGCACGCGCCGCGACCGCACCGCCGAGCTGGCCGGCACGCGCTGGCAGCACTTTGACAGCTACGCGTCCCCGGGCGCCTACTCGGCCGGCAGCTTCCGCGAGACGCGCGACCTGTGCTTCTCCCCCGCGCCCGCGTGCGCCTTCTCCTTCGACCGGGCCTTCTCCGCGTCCGTGTCGACCTTTGACTCGTGCGGCAATGCCACGTCGGACCTGACGAGCCGCCACGACCCGGACCACACCACGGGCGAGTACCGGCTGTTTGCGTGTCGCGGGGTCAACGAGGACGGGGACGGGGACGGGGACGGGGAGGAGCAGCTGGTGCTGGCCGAGGACGGCAGCCTCGAGGTCAGGGTCTGGGCCGTCCAGAGGCTGGGGCCGGGCTTGATGGTGATTGGGGGCAAGAAGTATCTGAAACAGTCGTAAGGGAGGCCGGGAAGGGCCGAGGAGAGACGGGGGGGACGCTGGGGAGAACAAATTCATCCAACAGATGGCTTGTACGCACTTTTTTTTTTGTACAATAGTTGATCATGCCTTTTTAATGTACATCCATACATGAACCATGTACTCTTACATTCCGTCGTCAGGATCCTCGCCACCCCTCCTCCGGCCGTCTCTCCCCTTCCGGACCTTGAGCGTCGGGCCGTCTACCGAGTCCTCATCGTCGAGGTCGGCCTGGATCGACTCGACCAGCTCCTTCTTGGCCGCGTCCCTGCCGCCCCTGGTCCTGCGCTCGGCCGGCCGCCGCAGGTTGCGCGGGATGCGCTCCGAGGCGCCGGCGATGGCGCCCGACGACGCTAGATCCACGTCGATGACGCGCGGCTTGCGCTTGCCGCCGCCGTACTCGCCGCTCCCCGCGTCCTCGAGCGCCCGCCGCGCCCGAACCCCGCCGTCGCCCTTGCCCGGGCCGAGCGGGTTGGCCAAGTCCGTGAGCAGCTCGGCCCCCGGCCGCCCGAGCCGCGGCGTCCGCGCCTCGCGCTGCTTGGCGCCCAGCGCCCACAGGTCGCCCCACCGCACCTTGCGCGCGTCGTGGTAGGCCTGCTTGCCCAGGGACTTGGGCACCGTCCAGCGCTCGAGGGCTCCCGCGGGCGTGCACACGTCCATGGTGACGTGACCGCGGCCCTTGAGCGGCGGCCGGATGTTGCGCGGGAGCGACAGCATCGAGGGCCGCTGCGGCACACCGTCGCTGCCCACCTCGGCCTCGGCCTCCTCAGATTCACCGTAGCCCCGGTGCGCCCGGTCCGCCGCCGCCTTGCCCTGCCAGGGGCCCGCCGGGTCGCCCATGGCGTCGGCGGGGCCGCGGGGGTCCCGGTGGCCGCCGCGACGGAGGGCGAGATAGCTAAAGCTGACGTCCTCGTGATTGGCGTGGCTCTCGCCTAGGATGCGCTGGAAGAAGGGCGGGCGGATGAACCGCTGGCCAAAGTGGCAGAAGTCCTTGCGGCCGTGCGTGTACCCTGGGCGGGGGTACATGGGGCACTTGGTGTGGTTGGTGCAGGGGGCGATGATCATGCCGGGCTCCTTGATACGCCTGACGACTTTGGGCTTGTTGCCACTGCCATCGTTCTCGGGCTCCATTTGGTCCTCGGGGTTGTACTTTTCGCCAGGTGCGACGATGAACTCGTCGAGCATCCGTTGGCGTACATCGGCAACGGCTTCGAACCCACGGGGATGGCCCTTTTCCAGCACGACCAAAACGCCGCCATCGGGGTTCAGGTGAGCCCAGAGGTTGTCTATGAGCTCCTTTCTCCTGTATTGCTTCGCCTGCGCCATCAGCATGTGCGACACCACGATGACATCATACGTCTTCCTCTGCCTGGGCTCCGCCGGTGCGTCGAGCTGCCTCTCGACATTTTCAGCCGAGTGCAGGTAGTCGGGCAGCCGCGGGAGGAAGGTTGTGTTCTCAAACAGGGTCGAGACGCGGTGCCGGAGGAAGTTGCTGCCAACAAGCACAGTCCTCTTCCCCAGAGGAGCCTCGCTATCCGCCAGTGCTTCTCCCTCGGATTTCATTGCCTCCCACTCGGCCCGCACGACATGTTGCCACGCCAGCATGGACGCTCCAGCCGCGCCTGCGTCTAGGACACGCGGGCCCAAGCCGTCGTTCTTGCGCAGGAGATCCCTGAGCCACTCGGTGCCTAGCCTCTTCCGCACCTCGACTAGGATGCTAGTCGCCGTGGCGTAGACAGTCGGCAGGACCGTGGCGATGTACGCATCCGCCTCAATCTCGGACATGTGCCCTTGATTGGCCTGCAGCGAGATGCCGATCTGCTTCACGTCGAGCATGTTGTGTGGGATGCGGGCCGAGAAGGGCAGGCCCCTGCCGCCGAAAGCCGCCTCGGCACCCTCCTTGAGGTGGGTCGGGTCCGTCCTCTTTAGAAGCTCCGTGATGGGCTGTACAAAGTCCTGCTTGGGGATCTGGATGGTGGCCGGGCTGGTGCGGAATCGTCCCTCGACCGTGAGCTCATGGGCCTTGATGCCGTCGTCGAACTGTTCCCACTCCTCCACAATCTGGTCCCGGTACGCCAGCCTCTCCAGCTCCTCGTGGCTGAGCTCCGCGAAGTCAACCTCCCCCTCAGATCCAGTCGCCTGAGCTTCGGCCTCGATGATGCGCTGTCGTTCCTCCTCCTCTATCGCCTGCAGGCTCGCAGCCTCGAAGTCCGCCTTGAGCTTCAGCAGTGCATCATACTCGCGTTCGTTCTTTGCGATGACGTCCATATAATCCAGTCTAGGATCTGTCGGTAGATCATCTCTGATTGCCTCCGCGGCCAGAAGGTCGGCCCCCATTACCTCTACATCCGCATCGTCCTCCTCCAGCTCCAGTTGCTCATCCGAGATGAATATATCTTCTTCCTCCTGGTCAAGCTCTTCGTTTTCCTCTAGCGCCTCGGGATTTGTGGAGGGGTCGTAGTCGTACTCAACCTCCTCCAATGTCCCGTTCGGCGCTTCTCTGAGGAGGATTGGCCCGCTAGTTTCGTTTTTGAAGGGGATGCCGACATCCTGAGGAGTGGTCTCTCGTAGCGGGGCTCCAAACAGCCTCTCGTAGACCTTGTACTCCTCGGGCGAGAGGTAGTCCTTGGGAAGGGTGTCTCCAAAGAGGGCCTTGGCCTGGCGAACAATGGTCTCGATGTCCTTGGGGTCCTGGCTGGCATCGGGGGTGGCATCCCGCGCCGATGGCTTGGTCGTGGAGAAGGGTCGTTGTTGGGCCAGTTGTGGCGAGGGTTTGCGGCTTCTCGAGGCGTGGAACGATCGCAGTGGCGCGAACCCTGCGTGGGCTGGGGCTCTCCGCACAGCTGAGGGACCGACAAAACCATACTCGAACAGGTGCAGCAGGTCCTGCCTGCACCGGGAGCATGGGCCCCCAATCCTCCGTGCTGTCAGCATCTTGATTATCGCGGTGTAGCCTAGGCTTTTGTAAGAACCCGACAGCCTAGAGAGCTCGACACAAAAAAGTGAATGGTGATTTTCTGCGCCGCGCAATCGGGAGCTCTGTCGAACCAGAAGCGCCCCGCACAAGAATCAAATTGGAAAGCTTCCATTGGTCGAAGCTTGGCTGCAGGGGCCAAGCTTGCCACGTGCAGCATCACGCCTGGAACCACTATGTGCGTGGGTTAGGCCTTGGCATCGAACCGCGCAGCACCGGCCTGGAAGTCGCATTTGATGATACAGCTACAAAACTAACGCGCGCCAAGTACTACAATTAGACCCAAACGCCAAATGACAACGAAACCAGCCAACGCGCTCGCCCTCTTTAGTCACCACCCATGTCAGCGAGAGTGCGGAAGGCGGGCTTCGGAGCCCCCGGTCTCTGCCCCGCGCCCCCTGCGGGTCGTGCTGGTGCTGGAGGGTTCTTGATGTTGTACTTGGACGCCTCGGCCGATTTGTAAGGATCGAGCTATACCAATGTTAGCTTGCTTCTTCAGTCCGCATATGCAAACATGCATGAGAATCCTAACACGAGGCGGCCCTATCGGGACACCTTTGATCTGCTGTTCTTGGCCAAGAGGTACTTGAAGAGGGGTGGGCTGTCCCTGGTCCTTAGGATGGGCTGGCGACTTACCGAAAAGAGCGACACGAGGTACAGCCCCAAAAACACAATAATGTTGTTGATGAGGCTGTTGATATCCCAGTTCAGCGGCCTCTGCAGCTGCTGCGGCCGCGAGGCGCCCCCCGCCGACCCGCCACCCAGCCTCTGGCCACCGCTGCTAAAGACCGAGCCGCTACCGCTGCCGGGCCCGGCCAGCTTGACGGCCTTCTCCACAGCAGCGGTCAGGGCGGGCGGGTTCGCGCCGCGGATGGTGTCGATGACGGTGCCGTTGCGCAGGATCAGGAAGGTGGGCATGGCGCTGACAGAGTACTGTTGCGCGATCTCGCGCTGGCTGTCGACGTCGACCTTGCAAAAAGCAATCTTGTTCGGCTTGGAGAACTTGGTCGAGAGGGACTCGAACGTCGGCGCGATCATCTTGCAGGGGCCGCACCAGTCGGCGTAGACTGGAGGGGGTTGGTTTGTCAGCAGGCGTCCAGGTGGTGCTTTCTTTGCCGTCGCGTTGGCCGAGACAACACGTACAGTCGGTGATGACGACGCTCGAGGAGCCGAGCACCTGGCGCCACTGCGCCGTGGACTCGATATGGATCGTCATGTTGGGTGGTTGCGGGTATGTGTGCAATGCGCCGTTCGCGAAGGCAGACCTCGGTTGGTTGGAACTGGCCTCTCCGAGATGACGATATCCAGCGCGATTGATTGACTTGCCAGCGGATCCGTCGGCTGGGATAGGTGGCCTGTGCGGGCCCTGTCATCCTGGATAATCGGAAGGCGGTGAATATTTAGCCCATTCTGCCGGACTTTGCAGACCCCTCCCGCTTTTTTTTTTTGCGCTGGCATCTATTGCGCCCGGAAACACCCAAAGTCCATTGAACCTCGGCCTGGGTAGCAGAATTGCAGTTATCAGTCTTTTATACGTGTTTCTGAATTGGCCGCCATTGAGGAAATCTGAAAATGGCTCCTTTCGACGAGCATCGCAACAAGGTGTGTGATCTAGATCTTCTCCAAACCGGCGATCCTGGGTGCGCAACGAGCACCTTGTTGACCTGCGGAACTGACGTTTCTGACCTACTTTCTAGAAGCGCAAGCTCGGGCGATACGGCGATGGCGCTGATACGAGCGAGGAGATCAAGTCTTTTAAGCCTTCGACACGATTTACCCCCACTGTCCCCAGAGACTGGACAGTTTCCATCGCAGTTCCGAGCAGCATCATCACCGAGTGGGTTTCCCACCATGGACTGTCTTCACACACGGTCATCTTCCCCTGGATTCTCGGCTAACCGCGCTTGCGCGTCCAGAGCCTCTAGGGATGAGCAGCGCATTGGCGCCCCGTCGCGGATAGCGCGAGCCCTGGCCGTCTTTGGGATGGACGAGATCGTGGTCTTTGACGACAGCCCAACGGATTCGCGCCCGCCGGCTGTCGACACGGACGCCTACACCGGCGACGTCGACCCGTGCCACTACATATGGCACCTCCTGACCTATCTCGAATGCCCTCCTTTCATGCGCAAGACCCTCTTTCCTCTGCATCCGAATCTGAAGTTGCAGGGGTTGTTGCCCAACCTAGACATGCCCTCGCATCCACATAGGGACGAGTGGCTTCCGTATATGGAGGCCATGACGCTTCCGGGCAAGCCAGATGGCGGTAATGGGTAAGTGCTATCTTGGTCTGTGCCCATCTAGTCCGTTAACTGATGATCTCTGTGCAGAACACTTGTGGATATTGGGATGAGGAAACCCATCACCATATCCGAGTCAATACCACCAAAGACTCGCCTTACGCTCCACTTCCCGAACCAGTCCTACGAAGGTGCACAAGCTGTCGACCCGACCGCCCCACGGACAGATGCGGGCTACGCCTGGGGCTTCAACGTCCGCCGCTGCGCCTCTCTCTCGGACGTCCTAACCGAGTGCCCCTACGAGGGTGGCTACGACTTGAGCATCGGCACCTCGGAGCGCGGCGAGAACTCGGCTTCTGTCTTCCCGTACTCCAGCGCACCGCCGGACTTCAAGCACCTCCTGATTGTGTTTGGTGGGCCCCGCGGTCTTGAGTACGCCGCAATGAATGACCCGCAGCTGTCCGAGATTGGAATTGGGGCTGGTCGTGTCCGCGAGGTGTTTGATCACTGGATAAACGTCCTCCCGGACCAGGGCAGCAGGGCTATCAAGACTGACGAAGCCGTATATATTGCGCTTACTGAGTTGAGGAGATTGTGGTACCGTGTTTAAAGTGGAATGGCGTCGATTACCCAGTGCTTCATCATGCCAGGCAGCACTCGATATCCTGATCCTAGTACAAATCAACTGACAAGCGAGTACCCGGGCATCGAGTGTTTGTTGCATACGGGTATTTCTCGAGACTCCCAATAATTGGACAGTTTATATGCTGCACCGAAACCAGGCGAAGTCACACAGCCACGCAATCCGACGCCTGACTTCTCCTTCACTAGCGCACTGGTTTTGATTCCATGTGTTCGTCAATCGCCCACTTCACCACCTTCCTCGTGCTACCCAGGGATCAGCCTTGTCGGCCACCCGCGCGCGTGGGGTGGTGGCGACCAGAATCAAACAGCACAGATCACGACATAGATCACGCCGCCGGGACCAGCCGTTGGGTCGGGCGCACGGGCATCAGAGGGGACAATGGGATGGGTCCTGGCCCTTGGCACCTGGTGGGCTGTGTCGCCTGCAAGGCCAGCAGTCCCCGCAGAACATGCCCACAACGATACAGGGGGGTGAGCACCAAGGTGCCAAAGGTGGTGCCTGCCACATCGTCGAAGATCTTGGGCGGTGGTTTGGCGATTCGATCGAGAGATGCCTCGGGCCGACAAGCTCGAGGGCATCACGACGTTCTGCTTCTTCCTTGCTGTCAAGCCTGGTGCTGTTTTTGTGCCACCCGCCCACACCAATCACGTTCCTCGCCCAACCCCTGGCGCGGTGGTTCTGCTTACCACTTGGCAAGCTGGGCCTTGATCTCCTCCCAAGCAAATGCGCCGAGCCGGGTAGTGTCGCCCGTTTGGGGAAGGGCTGATTGGCGGGATTAGCGAATGGCGAGGAGGCATTTGTCTAGTTGCGGATCGCGAGGCGATGATCCCCTGTGCGTGTCCCAAATTAGGGCCACCTACCGCCGATGTTACACACCCGGCAGATGCCTAGATGCTTTTCCCTCTTTTTCCTTCTGTCCAATCCAATCCAGCTGCGGTCGTTTTTCCTCTCTCTTCTGTCCTTTCCCCCAAAGGATTGCGTCCCTGCAACAGAGCTTTCTCGCAAGCAGACGGATTTGTATCCTGCCCCTGGTTATTTGCTTCACCACGCCATCTGAGCCGTTTTGCGTCCTCCAAAGCCGGGGGGGAAGGACGCCACAGAACGTGTCAGCCGGGGGGAAATCGGCAACCCGTCAAAATGTCTGGGCCAGACCCTGTCGCCTTCTACAACGACTGGTTCTTCACAACCAACCAGACCGACTTCAACTGCCCCAACTCCCTGCCGTGCCCGCCGCCCAGCAAGGCCTGCGCGCGGGACCCGACCAACGGCGCGCGCTACTGCTGCGACGGCCAGCCCGACGCCAAGAGCAAGGTCGGGCGCGTGTGCTGGAGGGGCCCGACGACGTGCCGGGCCGACGGCAGCACCGTCGACTGCAGCAACAGCAAGCGCACCTGGTGCTGCCTGTCCGAGCTCGAGCGCTGCAGCCAGACGCCCGGCCAGGAGGCCGCCATCTGCTGGAGCACGCGCCACGACCCGCTCTACAACGTCAGCTACGACGACCTCGACCGCCTGCACGGCAGCCTGAGCTCCCGCCAGACCCAGGCCACCGTACTCTCCTTCGACCTCGTCTCCCTCATCAGCGCCACCGCCACCGCGCCCTTCGCGACCGCCTCGAGCGCGCCCTCGTCCACCCAGTCCGGATCCTCGTCCACCTCCTCCCCCGCTTCCAGCTCGTCCGGCAGCACCGCCACCCCGACCGACGGCTCCTCCTCCTCCTCCTCGCCCGCGCAGGGGACGCAGAACTCCTCGGCGGGCGGCGGCGGCGTCTCGGGCGGCGCCATCGCGGGCATCGTCGTCGGCGCCGTCGTGGCAGCCGCGCTGGTCGCCATCGCCGTCTTCTTCCTGCTGAAGCGGAGGAAGAACAAGGGCGGCGGCGCCGCGACGCCCGCGGAGCTCGGGGGCGGACCGTTGCCCGCCGGGGGCCCGCACGAAAAGGGCCCGCACCACTACCCCGGCGGGCAGGAGGCGGTCCCCGCGGCCGCGGTGGAGGCGGACAACTACTACAGCAAGAACGCGGGCTCGCCGCCGCCGCCGGGGTATCAGTACCCACAGCAGCAGCCACAGCAACAACAGTACCGGGAGCTCATCGGGGAGGGCCACCATGCGATGCGGTCCGAGCTGCCTGTCGAGGAGCCGCAGGAGCTTCCGGGGTCCTACGCCGGCCATCACCCCGGTAGCGGCGGCAGCGGCGCGCCGTACTCTCCCATAAGCTCGACGACGGCGGGATACCAGCCCAGTCCGTATTCCGAGACTAGCACGCCCATGAGGTGATGGACGGGGTGGGAGAGAAGGTGAATGGGGGGTCGAATGGACATTACAATCCCTCGTTTTTTAATCTTTACGCTTATTTCCTCGGATTCCTATAATTGTTGATCCTTGGTTCCTATATAAAATTTAACGTCTTGGCACCAGTCCTTTCATTTTGCCCCAATACTAGGTAAATAAACATCTAACCCCTTCAAAGGTATCCAAGGGCTATTGGAAAGGGGCAAGTTGAATGGAAAATGCGGGCGTGTTGTACACATGATCCAACCTAGAGACATCTGTATGTGGAGGAGCAGGCAATGCCTAGACATCCCTTTTAGTGCCGTCAGGTTCTCAATCGTTTATCGCGTTCGTATTACCCAATGAGAATAAAAAGAGGCACAAGAACAAGAACAGGGATAGGAATAAGAATAAAAGCAAGAAAAAGATGTAAACAAAAGGGCTAGGTGTTGCAAAAAAGTAAATCCCGATCCCAGCCTAAAGCCCCAGGCTAACCTCTCCGAGGCCGACCGGTGTTCGGTAGAGCTACCGAAGCGGGGAGAGCTTACTCCGTTCCTCGTAGCGGTTGCGGCCTCGGCCGCCGGGGGAGGTGGAAAGTCATCATCGCCGTCGCAGCTACTCCTTGGCGACGGCGGCGACGGCCGGCTCTCCCCCACAGCAGCGCATGCGTCGCCCCAAGGGCTGCAACTGGTGCCGGCCACTAGACGGGCCGCGGGCCGCGGGCCGTCCAGGTCGTTCTTAGTCCCCGGGTAGTCTCCGGATTCGCGGTGCTCCTGCAGCCGGTGCTGGGCCCATTTTTCCAGGTCGCGGCCGAAAGCATCCATGGACGACAGCGGATCTCCATACCTTTCAATGCCCGACCAAGACTGCGCGCCCTTTCTGCTTGACGGCCCATGGCCCTTTTCTTTCACCGCTCATTGTATGCAACAGCGGAGGAGCTGAGGATTCGGAAGACGACGATAGCGACGACGAGTATACCCACCCGGCTGCAATGCAGAAGGAGCGGCGCATTTACAATTTTGGACGCTGCCCGCCCAAGACAGCACTGCGGCCTGTCTAAGTAAACGCAACGGTCGGGCATGCCGACGCCGACGCCGACGCCGACCCCCGTCCGCAGCCGTGTTCCTGAAACAGGGCGCGACTGCAAGACAAAATGCAAAGCGGGATAATGGCGGGAACCAAAACGTGGAGTGCATGCAGCCCAGTACCACGGCTGCCGCTGTGCCGCCCCTTACCATTGCCGCCGTGCGTCTTTTGCGGGAAGGATAATAGGCAGAATAGGGGTAGCAGAGGACGCATTTAATGGGAGCTATAGCCGTCAGGGTTCTTGGCACTCAAGGTGTTTGTTTTCCCGCCCTACTTTTCATCCAGCAGAATACTCGGGCGGATACATTTCCTCAGGTTCCTCAGGTTCCTCTAATATCATAATTCGGATCCCAAGTGCAACGACGGCCATGTCGGCGACACCTTCCTTCTCCATCGCCGGCCTGCTGGCCATGCTGCTCTCGGGCCAGGCCCTCGCCCAGGACGCGGCCGCATGCACCCTCAACTTCGACGGGCGCGTGCCCCAGGCCGCGACCCCGGAGACCTTTGTTTCCAAACAGAGCCCCTTCAACCCCACTCACGTGCTTGGGCCCAACGTCACCTGGGCCGAGATCATCGAGTTCCCGGACATCCCGCAGTCGCGCGTAGGTGAAACTGATTGGGTTTGGCCCGTGTTGGCAGGGTGGACATGATTGCTGACCGCTGTACTTGTTTACCCGAAACGAAACAGTTCGACAAGGTTGTGAACAGCAAGACCGTCGCCCTTAGCATCTCGTAGGTTGGCCCCCAAACCAAACACAGCTGTCCCACCAGCCACCTCGTGCTCACCACCACCCTCCCCGCAGTGACAAGTCCGTCTTCCTCTCGGGCACCGAGGGCCTCGAGACGGCCCTCCGGCGCGCCGAGCTCCTGCTCAACAAGCGCGATGACACCGTCTCGGGCCACGTCACCTGGCACCTCTCGGTGCGCGCCGACCCGGCCCGCCCGCTCAACTACACCCACGAGTACCTGCTCGCCTTCCACGAGGCGCAGGACTTCCAGGCCGACTTCTGGAGCATCAAGACGGGCGCTGAGCTCGAGGCCCCCGTCGGCACGCCCCCGAGGAAGACGCTCCGCGTCGAGGGCTACAAGTGGGACGTGCCCGCCAAGCTCTTCTTTGAGACGCCCCTGACCGACGACACGTGGCACAACTTTGGTATCGATCTGAACTTTAACGACAAGTAAGTCGCATGATGCCTTCCCAAACACCGCATGCTTTCCCTACAGCGCCTCTTGGTCGCGACGCGCACACACAGTCCTAGCTGGAGGGTGGTCTAACATTGACTCCTCTCCGGGACAGCCTCATCTCGGTCCTCTACAGCACCGACGACGAGCCCCTCAAGGTCGTCGCCCCGCCAACCTTCAACAACATCTCGGGCGTTGCGCCCACAACCCTCGGCGAGACGCATTTTGGCCTGCAGAAGCGCCCCGTCGGTGCAAATCTCACTAGCTTCCTGTTTGAGGGATACCAGGACCCCGGCATCAACGAGGCCTTCTTCTTTGGCGGCATCTTCCAGGACCAGTCGGCCACAGGCTGTATCACCCTGTAAATAGTGCTTTCAGGTGGTTTTTTTTTTTTAACTTTCTTCCTCTCTTTCCATAGACGGGCAGTTAGCCACGTGTCGCATAGGTCACGAATATCTCATGCCAGATGCGAATGCCCAACGTCGGAGCTTACAACCATAGTCACGTGCATGTAACAGACAGACTGGCGGAAGGTCCGTCCTTGGCGGATTGCCAATGCTGCCAGCCTGCGCAAGAACGGTTCCCAGGAAGGTGCGCCAGGGACAGTTTGTTGGAAGGAGGCAGAATCGTCTCACCGTTCACATGCCGTTCCCAAAACCGCAGGCACCCTTTGGCGCCGCGCAGTTATCTCGAAGAGATGACTGTGGAAGTTACACACGATGAGCGGAGTCTTGCGTCATCACCCAAAGCGGGAGGTGCGGATCGGGCTTGCGGCAGGCTTCCACTTTGAATTGAAGCCGGTCGTCAGCAATGTGTGACAGGAAGCCCCAGGAGAGCGGGAGGCTGCGAGGTGCCTGCTCAACTTGACCCCCAAGGTCTTGGGAAGGCGGATCAGCGTACATGGAGGCATGGCGGGTCCCTAGTGCCAACCGGGTACCGAAAAGCCTCCGGCCTGGGCTACCTCGGTGGGCACATGCTCGTGTCCTCCTGCCGATTGAAAACTTTGCGCTGCATGGTAGGTAGCCTTGTGTTTCAGAAGCCATGTCTGCGTCCCAAGACACATTCTCGACGGGGCCCAGTAGAACATGGCTATCACCCAAGTTACCAGCGCTGTCAAAAGCAAAGGCGAGAAGGGTCCGATTGTTTAGTATGTAACTGTCACGGGCTACAGCGAGATGTTACATAGGAGCGGATGGATCTGCACCCTCCCCCTGCTGCTAGTTGGGAGTGCCTGGCGACTTCCATCATGGCGGCATTTCTGGATAGCGGGAATGCATCACGTCATGTGCGAGTAGAGTCTTTGACTCTTTCCGCCGGCGCAGAGAGTGCCTGCTCGAATTCAAGGGCTGTCCTGACTGACGAGCGCAGTGGCCTGTGATACTGGCTGGCGACTTCCGTCACAAAAAGGATGTAGAGTAGGCCGGTTAGGGGGGAGGAGGTCGCGTATGGCTAGCAGTAGCAGCACAGCGACGAGTGGAGCTCGCTGGTGGTAGAATCTCTTGGTCGTCTTCTCTCCTCCTCCTCCTTTCTTCCATGACCAGGCCAACATTCGCTGTGAGTACCCCCCAGTTTTGCCCTAGTCGACCAAGCCACTCCATCGCCATCGCTGTCTTTCTTTGTGTTTTAATTTATATATATTATTTAATTAATAAAAAATAATTATTTGCTTTTATGTAATTATTTTATTTTATATATATTAATATTTTAATATTAAATAATTTTAAAATAATAAATAAATAAAATTATTACTTAGTATTTATTTTAATTATAATTATTTTAAAATAATACAATATTATGATAAATATACATATATAAATAAAATTAAAACTGCGTTTTTATTAACTAAGTATACATATATATTTTTAATTTAAATATAAATATTTTAAATGTAATTGCTTTAAATGCTTAAGTGCTTGAGGTAAGTGCAAATGCGTCGGTTAAAATGGCACTTAAGGTTTGGCTCGTGGGACAGTGCACGGCCATGCTCGCACGTGTGCAAAGATTATTTTGTGGTAAATAGCTAGAGTCTGTGGCAATATAGCCGCCCCCTTAAGTTATACCGACATGATCAAACTACAGATTACGATACATATACCACGATCGCTCTTTCCCACACTCACACTCGCTTCCCCCCCTTGTAATCATAATGTTGTTCGCAGTTGTCTTGTTTTGCTGTGGGGTTTTTGCCGTCTTGGCGCTATTCGTCCCTCCCCCCAGGCCGCCGCCGCCGCCGCGATGCTCGCCGCCGCGGCCTTTGCCCGCGGCCGTCGCGCC